ATAGCGCACGCCTTTAAGCCCAGCAGAGGCAGGCAGATCTCTGAGTTTGAGGCCAGCCTGATCTACAAAACGAGTTCCAGGGATGTTACACAGAGAAAACCTGTCTCGAAAAACCAAAAAAAGAAACGAGAAAGAAAGAAAAAAGAAAAAAAAAGCGGGTGATTTAGGAGAGGGTTAGCACGGACCGGCAGTCAGGGCGGGAGTTCTGTCCCATTCCCACCCAGCCCAAGTGAGTCTTGGCTAGAACAGGGAAGCTCACTCTGGAAACAGGCTCAGGTTAGTAAAGACCCTCTCCAGGCAGTTCCCCACGTGGCCTCTCTTAGGAAAGACCAGAGCCCTTATATCACTGAATGTTAGGTTTTAAGAAACATCCCGTGCTTGCTGCCAGGTCCTGTTCTTCGCCACAATTCCTACGAGACAAGGAGAAAACGAGGATAAGAAACCCGGGAACACAGAATGAAAGGGCCCGTCCAAGGTCAGACCCTGAGAGGGCTGCGTTGCAGGCGGCTGTTCCTAGCTCGCGTGTGCGAACAAGCGGGGGGTTCCGGGAGGCGCGCGGGGCCGGAGTGGGCCCGCAGGTGGCGGGGCCGGAGCGGGCGCGCGGCGCGGGAGCCAAGAACAAAAGGGAGCCCCACTCCCGCCCCGCCCGCCCTCGCTTGGCCAATCGGCGCGGTCCGAGCAGCAGAGGCCCTCTAATTGGCTGCTCGGCGACCAATCACGCGCCAAGGCCGAGAGCCCCTGCGGCCCCACGTGGGGCGATGCTCCTTGCTAGGGAAGGGCGGGGCAGGGAGCTGGGGCGCGCACGGAGCGCCTCGGGGACCTGACGGCGACCTGTGCTGCCCTGGGGATCCCCTGCGGTCCCCAGTGGACCTTGTAGCCTCCGGTCCCCATGGGGGCGTCGTCAGGCTCCTTCAGCGCCTTGGGAGTGCAGAGCCTCCCGGTCGGGCGCTAGTGGGGCCAACACGGGGCTGTCCCCAGCTCCCGTGGGAGGTGATGGGGGAGGCAGAAGAGCGCCACCTGGGTTTGGCTCGGAGGCTGAAGCTGGTGGGGTGGGGGGAAGGAAGACACGGTCCTGCTGTTCAGTGGCGGAGGAGGCATCAATTCATTCTTGGATGGAGTCTGGCTTTGACACCGCTCATGCCCGGGGACACAAAGAGAGGTGGCCCCTGTTCAGGCTTGGGGGCTAGCCTCCCTTCCAGACTACTCCAAGTGGAACATACAAGGATGTTTTTTGATACGGGCAATTGATACGGTCTTACATTTTTATGGCACCCTCAGACGGGACATTTGAGGAGAGTTGAATAAATGGATTAAAGGGGAGATGTGATGTGTAGTACCCAGGCTAGCAACGAAGGGAGCTGCCACCACCCCAGACCTGAGGGGCAGCTGCAGTGGAGAAGTAGAGACCTTGGAAAGGGGACACTGTGACCTGGCAGGGAGGTGCTGGGTGGTGTATACTTTCCCCAGGCTTTCTGGTGCTTCCTACTGACTGAATCCAGGCCCAAGTTGGAGCGAGGGACGCTGGGCTGCCATTGTCTACAGTCAGTTTCTGCTGTGGACAGGAGGGTGGGTGATGGCGGTGTGTCAGGGTGCTGGGGTCCAGCAACAGGAGTGCGTCCTGCACCTGCTCTCAAGTGTAAATAAAAGGGTTTTGTTTTGTGAGCAGTAGGTAGATGCAGCATGGGTGGACCCGTGTGTCCTACTCGGGCCGGCTTGTGATGGATGGGTGGGATTGGGCTGAACTTTTTTTTCCCTAAAGAAGACATCTCGTGAGTGGCAAAGTGAGACAGATGGTGGACGCTGTTCAGGCATCTCGGCTGCCCTCCTAGATGCGCCCTCGCACTAGGTCCCTTTACATGGCCGCAGTGGGCTCCGGGCAATAGTGGGACCCTAAGTCTGTCTCGGGGACTTGGATTCTGTTTACGGGTGTCCTTTCGAGGGCTGCCGTGTCTGTCAGCACGCACCGGAGTTTACCTAGAAGACTCTGAGTGAGGGAGCATTTATTAATTCAGTAAGTCTTTTAGGAGAAGTCTTTCTGTACCAGGATAGGCTCAGCCCTGGGGATGCCCAGGAAAAAAGGGCACGATCCAGGCTTGGAGAAATTTATGGTTCATTGTGTGGCCATAGTCAAATCCAGATGAAGTGCTGGAGCCTCAAGAGGTCCAGAAAGGCCTCTTGCAGAATGGGGACAAGGGAAAGATTTGATGCTTGAGGCAGCTTTGAAAGGCAGTTAGGAGCTGGATGGTGGAGACGGTGGAGAAAGGGATGACCCCAGGTGTTCCAAGAGTGTGGCATCTAGCAGATGTGGTTGTGTGCAGTGGACCTCTGACACGTGGACTTCGGGGACACTGGCGATGCCCCTTCCACGTGGTGACACTGACAGGATTATTGGGTGGCTGTAAGGAGGATGTGCTCTGTGCAGCCCAGTGTCTCACAGTGGGCAGTTACAGGCTCAGTGCACATGCATCCGCTGTCAGTGCGGGCACTGGTTGCAGTCGGGAGATTTTTGTGGCATGTGAGCTGAGTTGTCTGTGAGGACTGTGAATGATTTCAGGTAAGGACAGCTTTCTTGCTCTTCTGTCACATGCAGAGAGCCTCATCTGTCCCCAGTTGCTGTCCTGTAGTGGAACAGGTCTGCCCTCAGAGTCCTCGGGCTGTCCCCCACCCAGGCAGTCTTCTGTTGAGCAGGGGCAGCAGAGACAGGACTGCGCTGCTTGCCAGCCCCAATTCCGCTGTTAAAAACTGCTGTTTGTGGGCCTGGAACCAACGGTGTTAGGTCCAGATCCAGCTGCTCTGATGCGCCCTCGCACTAGGCAGCCAGAGCATGGTGCTTTGGCGGTGACATGGGCAGCCTCTTCAGTGGAGCAGCCCTGGTTGTGGTGCTGGGGTGCAGGTGCCCTGGGCAGTTGGAACAACCACAACACGCCGGGAAGAGAAGACATCATCTGAGCACAGAGAAGATGGTCCGGGGTGGCTGGAGAACAGTAGCTCGACCTGGGGGTGGCGCTATAGAGCCCAGAGCCTCCAGCGAAAGCCAAATGCCCTGAACAGGGAAGGAGACAGGAAACACAGAGGCTGGTCTGGTGGTTATGGTGAAAAGACAATTCCTGCAGACACGCATGTGGCAATGTGACATTAGACCGATCCATTGTGTGTCTGTCTGTCTGTCTTTACGCATGCATGTATTTTGTGGTGCTGGGGATTCACCCCAGGGCCTTGTATGTTCTAGGAAACCTCTCTACCACCGAGCCACACTGCAGCTCTGCCTCCATTTTATATCTTAAAGTAAAGTGCACTATTCCTAAATGTGCAAGGTAGAACTTCTGCCCTGGTGTCCACGCCCCCCTCCCTGAGGCAGCAGTGCTTTTCCCCGCCTGGCCTCCCTGGGGAAGCCACTCACTGTTGCTCTAGTACCTGGGCCTTTTGCTCTGTAGGACTGGCTTATGCCCCACAAGTGCTGAGGCCACCGTGTGGTCACCAGCTTCTGTGAACATCCAAAGTCACTGGGGCAGGGCGGCAGCTCTCCGGGAGGAGGGGCTCGTGGCCTCATATCCTTTCAAGCATTTTGTATTTCCATCCCTTCCTGTCAGTCATGGGGGGAATCCGAGGGAATACATGTCACTCCATAATCTTCCCAAAGCTCCAAAGGAGTCTCTCACCTCTGCCAAACAGTGCCCCTGGGGAGACCTGGTGAGTGGGGCGGGGGGGGGGGGGGGAGTCCATGCTCCACTTACCACTTACTTCATGTCTGAAACCAGAGTTCAGAAGAACAGGCTGGGCCTGGGTCTATTGCAAGAAGGCTTTGGTGTCAACAAGAACAGGACCGGGAAAGAGGCTGCAGGGTGGAGGTGGGCAGAGTTCTGGGTCAGAACAGACTCAGAAGCAGGTGCGGCCTGGGAGCTGAGGACAAGATGGAGATGTGTTCTTGTGCCCAGACCCCTGAGTGCTGGGCACACTGTGGTGAACACCCAGGCAGGAGGCCTGCCATCATGTTAATGACAGTCCAGAGAAGGCAGCAGCCGAATAAACCCACAATAAATACATAATTGCAGACTGCGATGAGTTTTCCATGCTGTTAGAAGGCCTGACCTGGCAGTGACATTAAACTGTAGGAGATTGTGGCCTCAGGGACTAGAGTGCAGCCGGGACCCTTCAAGGATATCCCAGCAGAATGGGGTGTGGGGGGGGGGCTTGTTCCAGAGAAGTGCAGAGTGGAGTCAGGGATGAGGAAAGGGGGAGGAGTCTAGTAATTGGAAAGTCCTGAGATGCTGTGTGTGTCCATCATCAGAAACCCAGGTTCTTGTCTCATCATTCTACTGTTCTCAAATGTGGCTTCCTTCTCATAATAAAGAGGGCAGCTAACATGACAACATTTCATCTACATTCCAACCAGCAGGAAGAGAGAAAAGGCACAGCTCTGTGTTTAAGGATGCTTCCTGTTACATGTTCACCATCTTGGGCCAAAACTCAGTTTCACGCTGGGCATGGTGATGCATGCTTTTAATCCCAGCACTCAGGAGGCAGAGCAGGCAGGTCTCTATGAGTTTGAGGCCAGGCTGGTCTACAGAGCAAGTTCCAGGACAACCAGGGCTCTGTTACACAGAGAAACCCTGTCTTAGAAAAAAAAAAAAAAACAAAACAAAAAATAAACCCACTCAGTTTAACAGCTGCATATAGCTGCCCAGGAAGCTGGGAGATGTGATTTTTACTCTGAAGGAAAAGGGGAAGGTTGGTATTGGGGCTCTTCCTGGTAGCTTAAAAAAATGCTGATTCAGAAATCAGGAGATGGACAGCAGTCATTGACGCTCTACAGCCACATGCAGGACTCAGCCATGTCTTCCCTGAGGCTGTCTGGCCAATGCCAGCTTTATCACAGACAAGGGAACTAGCTCCCAGAGAGCTGATTAGCCTGCCCAATCCAGTCAGGGACAGCCTAATGTAAGGCAGGCTAAGAAAGCCCCAGAACTTTTGATCATGGGGCGCTCTCTCTCTCTCTCTCTCTAAACAGGAAACGCTTCATGGATCTGCATGTCATCCTTGTGCAGGGGCCATAATAATCTTCTCTGTATCGTTCCAATGTTAGCATGTGTGCTGCCAAAGCAAGCACAAGACGCTACTTTCCTCACGTTCTCCTTCTCCTTGGATTCCTTGAGAGGTCAGTGCGACTTTATTTTATTTATTTATCTATCTATTTATTTATTTATTTATTTATTTATTTGGTTTTTTTGAGACGGGGTTTCTCTGTGTAGTTTTGGTGCCTGTCCTGGATCTCGCTCTGTAGACCAGGCTGGCCTCGAACTCACAGAGATCCGCCTGCCTCTGCCTCCTGAGTGCTGGGATTAAAGGGGTGCACCACCACCGTCTGGCTATCCTTTCTTATTTTTTGAGACAAGGTTTTACAGTAGCCTTGGCTTGGAACTTATTTTTGTAAATCAGGCTGGTATAACTTACAGCGATCCACCTCCCTCTGCTTCTCAAGTGCTGGTGGGATTAATATGGTGTGCACCACCATGCTACCTGAGCCTTAATCTTAGCCAGTTATGATAGTTGCCTTGGGCACCCTCTGGTCCAAAGGAAGGAGTGCTGTTCTTTCTTGGTCCTGGGATCTCACAGGGATGCTCTGTTTAATTTGAAGCTGCTTCAGGACATGAAAGAAAATGCATGTGGCTCCACCCAAGAAACTACAAGTCAAGGTGCCCTCCTTTCCTGAGGTGCCTTCATTCTGAGTCTTCCATGTTGTTCCTGGGCAGAGCTGCAGATGGGAAGGCCATGCCCTGGCGGGAGGGCCATGCCCTGGTGGGAGGGCCAATCCTTATCCCTGGGATCAACCCCTGTGGTCTCCCCTGTCAGAGCTGCAAAGGTCCCTCGTCACATCAGCACATCACAGAGGAGCAGTTCTGAGGTTCCCTGTCCACAGGCAGGCCAGTCTGCCAGCCCACATCTTATCCTCCATCTCCCTTGGCCATGGTTGAGGGTCCTTGTCCCTGAGCCACCTGGTGACATGCCATAGTCCTCATGCTGCAGATGGCTCGGCTCTGACACAAGAGCAGAGGCTAAGCTCTAGACACTAGTGTGCCCAGAAAACTCCCAAATTACAGCAGGCTTTTTTGGACTGCCAGCCCCCAAATCTTGACAAGGAGACTTCATATTAGTTATGAATGTCTGGCCTTAGCTTAGGCTTGTTTCTGACTAGCTCTTTTTTTTCTTTTTTAATAATTTATTTTTATTTTATGTGCATTGGTGTTTTGCCTGTGTGTGTCTGTGCAAGGGTCCCCTGGAACTGGAGTTACAGATAGTTGTGAACTGCCACGTGGGTGCTGGGAATTGAACTCAGGACCTCTGGAAGAGCAACCAGTGCTGAGCCATCTCTCTAGCCCCTGACTAGCTCTTATAACTGAAATTAACCCATTTCTATTAATCTTTGTGTGGTCACATGGCTTGTGGCTTTTACCTCTCCTTCTGCATGTCCTGCTTCCTCTGTAATCGGCTGGTAACTCTGCCTTTCCTCTTCCCCAAGACTTCTCTGTCCCCAGAAGTCCCTCCTAACCTCTTCTTGCCTAGCTATTGGCCATTCAGCTCTTTACTAAACCGATCACAGTGACACATCTTTACAAAGTGTAAAGGATTATTCTGCAACACCAACTCCTCTCCTTATTCCTGCCTGTGGCTAGGCCCTGCCCCAGCCCAGCAGGGCTCTGGGTACCCAGGTAGTGGTGAGGGGCCATGACTCAGCTCCTTGTGAAACTATTCTCACACTCTATTGCTGTGGAGATAGGTGGGGTGCTCTGCAGAGAGATCAGGGTTTGTCCAGTTCAGAGTAGTGTCCACTAAGGCCAGAACAAGTTACTGCCTGTGCTATGATGGAAGGGCCCACAGAAGCATGATATCACACGTGGAATCAAAGTATGAAGTTTTGTTTTTGGTTTTTGGTTTTTCGAGACAGGGTTTCTCTTTGTAGCTTTGCGCCTTTCCTGGAAGTCGCTTTGGACACCAGGCTGGCCTCGAACTCACAGAGATCTGTCTGCCTCTGCCTCCCGAGTGCTGGGATTAAAGACGTGCGCCACCACCGCCCGGCTCTTGTTTTGGTTTTTTTGAGACAGGGTCTCTTGTAGGCCAAATTACTTGCAAACTCTCTATGTAGCCAAGCTAGTCCTGAATTCTGATCCTCCTGCCTCTCCTTCCCAAGTCCTGGGATTACCAGTCATTTGCCAGTGGGAATCAGTGGGATCCAGGACCACTGGGCACATTACAGAGTCCCATGATGGGGTCCTCGGTGCCCCCAAGCCCATCAAGCAGGTCTCTTCATTTACTCATCTGCCTTTGGTGATGTGCAGAGTCAGGCACAGGCCAACGTGTATCTCCCTTCTATGCCACCAACTTCCTTTAGCTTCAGACACAGAGACAATTGCCCCATGCTTTTTATGTCTTTGGAGGTTTGTTTTGTTTTGTTTTCCTGCAGAGAGGCACCATAAGGTCTCAGTTGCCTCCTTGAGGCTGGGCTACCACCCTACAAGGAGCTGTTTGCAAAGCTGGGCTGCCACACTTTTGGCTAGCAGGCACTTCTCAGAGGCCGTGAACGTGCCGTGAGGGAGGGCAACGCAACACGACCTCTTTCGTGCACATCCTTTCTACCCCATGCAGGACAGCTGGGTGCACCTGTTTGTGGCCCAGGGGGCTGAGGCGTACCCAGCATGAATTGGACAGTTGGATTTCACAGTTGCTGGACTTAACCAATAAAATCTAAATTAGTAGGTTAAATTCAACTTCAGCTAAGGAATGAGTCATTTTTAGCATAAGTATAGCCCAAATATTTCACACAACATTTATGCTACAAATATTTGCTCCTTCTCTAAATTAAAATGAAATTCAAAGTCCTGGAATTTATTCAGCACTTTACCAGTGGGTCTGGTTCCTGCCAGAATGTGCTGGAGCGATCACTGAGGGGCTAGGTCTATAGTATCCCTTCATGACCATTCCCAAGAAACACTAGAAGCTGCCGTTCTCTAGGAGAAAGCCCTGATTGGCTCATCCTGGGTCAGGTGCCCACCCTGAGCCAATCACCATGGCTGGGGGAGGTGGAAGTGCTGTGATTGGCCTACCCTGAGTCATGTGACTAGAGAGGCACATGGCAGTCTACAGAACCAACTGAGAAAAGGGAAGACTTCCCAGGAATCTGTAGACACTGAGTAGGCTCTCCACTATAGCAGCCTGGGCACTGAGGCAGGGGGTTTAGATGGGTTCCAAACTTTGAAGTCCTGCATGCTAGAAGCTAGAAGCCTCCTAGCAAGCGCCTCAGAGCACCATCACCTTTGAGGCACTCAAAGGCTAACCTCAGGCTGCCTGGTGCCCTGGGCCTCTTCCTGTCAGGCTCTCTTCCACACCCACCTCCAGCCTCTGCACTGGCCCTCTTGCTTGGGTTGTCCAGCTCTAGTCTGGCAGGCGCCCCCAAATGCGAGGCATTCGGGGCTTCGAGGTGCCCTAGGCCTAAGAGCTTCACTTAGGGTCAGAGAGGGCAGCTGAGGACCTGGGGGGGAAATGTAATTACCGAGCAGTGTGGCGTCTCCTCACTTGCCTGCTCACCGCAGCCCGAGACTGTTTCTCCTAAGTAGAAACAGATTTCCCAACAAGGGGCAAGATCATAAACTTCTTTGGAGGCTCCCAAATAAAAATGGCTGTTTTAACTTTCCCTCCTCAGCAAACCAATTGCAAGGAGGGCCTGTAGGCCCTTCCACAGCTGGGCGGGGGGCTGTGTGGAAACTTTGGCAAGGTGAGGCCTCAGGTGGGCTCCACATCAGCCTAAGGAGGATGGAAGGACGGACAGCTCAGAAGGAAACAGGCTGTGTTACGCAGGTCTGGGTCACAGCCTTGTCCTTAGAGCTCTTCTCTGATGGCCAAGATACCATCACAGGCCTCTTGGTAGTATGGCTAGTCCTGAAACATTGGAGCAGGCTGGAGGTGCAGGGGCTGTGAATCTGCTGCTAAGGGACTGAGTAGAAGGCGGTGGCCTGGAAGGCCGAGTCTATTCTTGTTAATTTCTCACACTCACATTCTGCAGATGTGTGCTGCCTGTCTTGGGGTGCCCCACAAACAGATAGGAACCATACTGAGAGGAGCCTGTGGACTCCACAGCTGGAATGGCACTCGTGGAGTATCCCTGGACACTCACTGGAGGCAGAGACGCAGTGGGGTACTGAGCCCACGGGGCTGCTTTCCACGTTCTGCACCCTGCAAACCCCCCTTGGCCTCGGCAGCTGCTTTCGGTTCCGCCGGGGTCTGCGGCTCCTCCGGCTTCAGGAAGGCCCTCCCCCAAGCTCTCAGGACTCCAGTGGGTTGTATGGAGGTCAGACGTGTCTAGAATGCAGAAATGCCCTAAGTGCCCAGAGAACTCTCCTTTCCTACTGCCCCAGACATACAGTGATGGGATGAAGGCAAGGCCCATTCCTGTCTACACAGCCTGGGTGCTCTCCAGGGTTCCTGTGGGTGGGGATGGGGCCAGAGCCCCTGCAGAGGGGGTGGGGACTGCAGAAAGCACTGTTTGCTCCCAGGGCACAGCCCCTCCCCCATTGCCCTGTCTAAGGCAGGATGGTTTCCAGCCCCTGGATCCACTTCTCTCCTAGGGCCAGCTCTATCTGAATCCCAAGCCCCGAGTCACCAATCTGGCTTTTTGGTCCACGCTCCTGGTGAAGAGGGTGTGGCTTCTCCAGAGCTGTGCGTGGGGTCACAGCATCCCTCCATCCCTTCAGGGGTGTGGTCCTCAAGTAAATCTGATGAGTATTTTCCTGAGATTAGGCTTGTGGGGAAAAGGAGATGTGCAGTTGAATGACCCAGTTGGGACCCTCCTCACTTCTGGACACCTCCCTGCTCTACCAACAGCCCTCCTGCCCTGCATGTCTCTGCCTCAGCCTGCCCAGCTGGGGGACCCGGGACCTTCCATGCTCCTGTCGTTGCCCCCCCCCCCCCCCCCCCCCCCCCCCCCCCCCCCCCCCCCCCCCCCCCGGCCTCCCACACAAGTGTGGAGAGAGAGGTCCATCTCAGACCTATCAGGTGGGCACGGCAGGCAGGTGATACCTTTACATTTAGTGCAGCTCTCTGAGCAGATGAGTAAAT